TAATCATGAGATTTCATAAATACTGTCAATTTGGCATGTCATTAAAACATGTTTTCACACCTTCAAGTGGTTTATGGTGGGCTAAGCAATAAAGAGTTGAGCCAGAATGAAGACTAATGCACCTGTTCTGAATAAAATCTGGTGGCTCGGATCCCTTTAGAACCAGCAATAAAATTAAGCTTTCAGTACTTATGATCTTACAAGCAGGAATTGAATTCACAGTGAATTTCTAATCCCAGTAAATTTTGATTAATATCAGAAGTTTTTCCTAAATAACCACCAATGCCAACTTAATATTACTTCAAAGTTTAAAATCTCATGTAATGCAAGTGCTTTTTAATTAACAGTAGAATTTACTCTCAAAGAAAACTCTTCATAATTAGTATTTTTACAATTATTTTTGAAAGCCAAAACATTTTGCTGGTCTCAATCTTATTTTCCACCAAGGCTTCTACCCATTTTTAACAAGAGCATTGTTTTGCATACCGTATGTCTGAACATTCACCTTTTAAAGCCACTTTCTTCAAAATATTATCTAATGGCTATAGAAAAACATCGGCTGTTCGACAGCCATTATATTTTTCATTCTTTTTACAACTCAGCTCACAAGAAGATTTAGGCATCTGCAGAAAAAGGATGGAGAGCACTCAGAGTTTGTGTGCTGTCATTCAGAATTAGTGTTGATGTATTACCTCTGTCACAGCCCAGTGGTGTAAAAACTGGTCCAGATCAGTTAGGTAAAGACGGACAGGTGAAAGCTGTGTCTGGCTAATGTGTGGTTTTCCTCTAATGCCCTGGAGACTAGTCAACTCCTCTCTTGAAAACCCTAGAGAAAAAGAAGCAGTACAACAGTATCACAAAACAAGCCAAGCACTGTTCTACTTCAAAAACATCATTGACAAAAACTGTCTTTTAAATTGTCTCTAACTTTTTTTTTTTGTTAAAAGCTCTTGCTTGGTATTGTAAATTAAGTATATCAAAACACAAATTCTGGCTTCTGAAAGAAAACAAAAATGTTTGGAAAATCAATGGCATACCCATTTAAACTATAATGTGGTATTAAAAAAAACCCTGTAGGAGGCCATTGTTATGCTGCTATTCTGAACGTATATATCTTTTAAAAAAATACAATGACCCAGGTATAATGCAAGACAGTTCACTATGCGTTCACAATAACTCAGTAACCTTCTAACATAAACTCAAGGTTTAAAAAAAAAAATAATTTGGCTAATTATTTCTAGCTAGGTATTGGATGTTTTAGTAAAACAGGACTACTGCTCCAAAACAGTCACTTTGGTTTTGCTTTCGTTTTTTCATTTATCAGTACAGCGCTCTCTTCACTGTTTTAGGAAAAAATAAAAAAGGTAATTTTTGAAAGCAAAGTAGTTGAACATTATGAATGACTGAGGTGATGAAGAAAAGACACTTTCTTTTTACCACAGGACAAGTTACTGAAAGATATTTCTCAGTAATATTATACCATTTTAACCACTGTAATTTCCCAAAGTTGCATCACCCCAGAATACAGCTATTTTTATCCAAGTAAGAATATAGTAGCAGAAGTAATTCTGCTCACATGCTGACCGTGGGCAGCTCACTTCAATGTACTTTGATTACTTTATTCTGATGGAATGTTTTTAATAGCATAAGCAGGTCCACAGGAAATCCCATAGGCACTCATTTATATTGTTACGAGCCAATGAAAGGCATTTATTTAAATCTAGAAAAAAAATTTTTTTTCAAGTCATATGCCGAATTTAGGTTTTCCTCATACTTTCAAAAGAAAGTTGCTAGAATGAAAAAAAAGTATGCAAATATTCAGCCTAAATGGCAAAACAGTGTAAAAATAGGGCATCAAAAATCAAATAAAGAGAAAAAAAAGGGAGTTTCCTATCAAAAAGTATGTAACAAGATTAGAATTACTTTCAGGAAGTACTTACTGCACCATTTATTCTAAATTAAATCCAGCAATTGACTATCAAAACAATTTTCATTTTGTTAATTCTGAATTATGACATTCACATGGATTACCTATACAGTGTAAAAACAGGGCATCAAAAATCAAATGAAGAGAAAAAAAAGGGAGTTTCCTATCAAAAAGTATGTAACAAGATTAGAATTACTTTCAGGAAGTACTTACTGCACCATTTATTCTAAATTAAATCCAGCAATTGACTATCAAAACAATTTTCATTTTGTTAATTCTGAATTATGACATTCACATGGATTACCTATAAGGGTTGAAAACAAGAAGCTGAAATAGTCCACATCATTCACTGAATTATCCTGCACTTGGCACTTCCAGCCTGCAAAGGATGATCTACACAAAACCAATAGCAGATAGTTTATTAAAAAACCATATAATTAAGAATTCACAACCTACCTGCACAATACAATCAATTAGCATGACTAAATTGTTAATTTTAGCATTCCTGTCTGTAACTGCTGCTGTTAGAATAGCATTTTAAATAGCTTCAAACCCAGAACTTGTTCTTTTCAAGAGAAGCAATATTGAACTTTGTACCCCTACATGGGCTTAGGTTGTTAAGTTGATTAAATTACTGAGATAGCAACTTTTCATAAATACTGGTATAACCTTTAATATAGTGACGACAGCTAACACACAGTAAATGAAAGTAGTTTTACCTCCCTTACTTGGTAAAAGTCATTATATTACAAAGCTGGGCTAGATTTTTCATTATATCCACTAGTTTTAATATAGCTCTTTACATTAACAATAGATCCCATTTAAAAGCAGTTTCAGCATCTATTTTAAGCTACTGAACGCAGAACTAAATTAAAAACTTGGTTTGAGATTTAGAACGTATAAAGGAGCAATATGCAAAGAGGGGAGCAAACCCGCTATCAAAGCCACCCGAAACTTCCCTTGTTAGGGGTGATCTGTAAGAAGTGGCACGCCAGCCTACTTTTTTCAAATTAGAAACCATACATGCTTGTGGAAACTCAGAGCAAATTGAGACACCACTGACCACCTAATGGTAGCATCATCCCAGTGTACTGGTACAGAACCAGGAGAAAGCCAGAAGCAAATACATCTCACCCATGCTTTCCTCAAAAGGCTGCAGCTCAGACCTACATCACAATATGCAAAATGCATATTATTCAAATTTACTTGTATGCTGCTCTTGGCACTTGTGCTGTGGACCATGGATCTTTGCTGTAAGAGATTGCTGCTTTCTGCTCTTACAATCTTGCAAAATTTCAGAGCTTCCAAACGCAATTTTCAAAGCCAACTATCTGCCTCGGATCACTTTTTTCCTAATTTCTCTCCGTTAACAGCCAAAAAGGCTTAGCTATGGGTAGCAAAATTCTGGAAAGCTGGTTTTACAGGAATTTTTTACAGCTCTATGTTTTGGGAGCAAAAATACGAAATTTGAAATAACTTTGTGCCACACACGTACATTTTGCCACCCCATGAAAATCCATTCACAATATTTCAGCATCCACAAAAATGACAGCTACGATATGCATGTGTCTGGAGCCACTCAATAAGAAATTTAAAAAAAAGGGGGGTTCAGAATTTCTTTAAATTAAAGAAAAAATTCAGGATTTAATCAGACTACTATGTAGGATAATTAATTCTAGGGAAGGGGGGGGGAGAAAAATCACAGGTAGGTGAGAAAGAACAAAGAAAGGCTTTATTAAATCAAGCTCGCACTTCACATTATAACCTTAATGGCAAATGCCAGTTCCTAGGAGGCCTTCGGTCCTCCTCTGAGGCCTGGCTTGCTGCTTCCTTTTCTTAATCTTTCTCCCTTCATAAGGCTGCCAACACTCAGTTCTCCAGAGACAAACCCCTTCACCATGGCCAGTGGTCTTCTCCCAGGAGAAGGGAGAATTTCTTCCCTCTTTCCAAGGAGGGTCTCAGTCCGATTCATTACAGCATCAAAGAGATTTCACACTCAACTAAATCAGCAAGACGTCTCACAACCTATTTCCCTAGAGATTCTACATAAGGTGAATATTCGCACAAGAATTAGATCTATATACCAGAAGAGAGAATGAAGCCCGTGTCCTGATCGACATAGGGGAAGATCACCCTCCTATCTACTGCAAAGGTTCTATGAGATGCTAGATAAATACTTTTTAAAATTGGAGGATGGGAAGTCAATGGTAACACACTTCTCTGAGTATCATCAGATGAGGTACTAATTCACTTTTAGAATAGAAAAAACCCCACATTATTCATAGTGGAGGCTTCTCTCTTCTTTCTGCTAGTTATCACTAGCCCTGCACCAGTTCAAGAGTGAGTAAAAGTCTAAAAGGGCAGTAACAGCTGTGGAGAGAAACAGCTTCAAATGTCTTCAAGAGCAGCACATAGACCCACCTGATCTCTACTGCTCCACTTGCACTTACAGTGAAATTGAAGTCAATCCTTTGTTTTCAAGATAGAAAACGCTGAATATTCTGAAAAATCAGTTCCTAAATGTTTCATGCTGAATTCCTAGTTAGAAGGTACTTGATGTTTCACCTTTTCCTTGCCTCAATTCCTCACCTGTAAGTTGGGAAAAATATCACCTCCTCATCTCCTACAGCTGTGAAAATACTTGAGCACAACACAAAATCCCATGGGCAGGGGAATCCCTTTGTTTTCCAAATGCGACATAATACAACAGACAAAACATGGAGCCTTCTACTGAAACGGGGACAAAGCATAACATTATGTAAACATTCCTCCAGTGAGCATGATCACTCAGCACACAATGGAGGATGGAAAAAAATAACCCAAGAACATGTAATCAAAGACTAGATAAAGTTCTCACAGATATACCATAAAAAATTAAGACCAAAAGAAATGTCTTTCTAATATTTCAAATACAACCAGAACAGTATTACAGCCTAGAAAAAGTTTGTTTAAATACAAGTCTAGCCAGTTATCAATGCCTCACCTAACTCAGAACCCACATTCTATAATGCAGTTAAAGCTGCTCAATTTTGAGGTTTGCAGTCAAGGAAATCGGAAATAAGAATGCAGAACAAGAGAAATTTAATTCTAGAAAAGATGTTGGTATACTACAAATACATTTCAAATTATTGCAAAGATCTTAGTTTAATATATTATTAACACCACCATGCATAATTAAGAACCACATGCACTTTTAAAAATATGTTTTCAAGATGCTTGTAAATTACATGGTAGACATTTAACTCAAAATCTGATTTATAGGTGGAAGAGAGGCAGTAAGTTTATCATAATCTCCCTTTTTTGAATAAATTTTTACTGACAATGGGAACCCATTATCAAACTGCATATGAGTGAGACCTCTTCCAGTCAGCTAGTCCAAACCCGCATTAACTATGATGAATTATGTGTTGTAATTTCCATAAGGTTACCTGCTCTCCATGAGAGCCTCTCTGCTGAGGTTTAGAATTGCACCTTTAGGTAACCTGCTCTGTACACCAAATAGGATTAAAAGAAAAGCTGAATCTAATTAACTTAAAAATCGCTGCTTCCCTTGGCATTAGCATAGCAAATATTTCTCAGTTACAGCAACTGTGCAATGTATTCCTTTTATCACTCACTGCTACTTTTTAACTCCAGACAGATCTCGCTACTTTTCTTCACGTTGTTAACCTTCAGGTTGGGCTACATCACACAGTTGCAAAATAAAACAACTGCAGCTTGTGCAGAAGTGGTTCTCTTTCAACTACAGACTCTTATCTTTGTGCTTCCTGACCTGAACTAGCTACCAGTTGATTTCTGGTTCAAGGTTTAAGGTGCTGGGTTTGACTTATGTAGTCATAAGGAGTCTTTGGGTAATTTAGAGGTCTCTGGTAGAAGAACTCTGATAAATCTTGCTGCAATCATTTTAGAAATTATCCTTCCACTTGTCGTCCCGTAAAACAAACTGCTCAAATTCCAACTCAGACAGCAACTCAGACTGTGCACCTATCAAGCACAGCAAATTTTGCTTAGAATTTGGGTTGGGGTTTTTGGCTTTTTTGTTGTTGTTCAGCGATAGAATTGAAAAACATAATGAATCTCAAAAACCCCTGAGTTCGGTCTTCAAGTATTTTAAAGTAAAACAAGGAAAAGCAAATGCAAGATTCGCAGTTCTTTTGAGGCATTGACACTATCACCCTTTTGTTCATAAAAGCGAGGGTTACAGAACTCAAGGGTCTGAGGTTTCTGTTCAAGGAAACTAAAATCCAAATCTTCCACCTTCCAGGAAAGTGCTTCCACCACCATAACGGAGAATATTCTAGCACAGGGTGTTCCTGCAGCTTTACAGAATTATTTAAACATTTGCGAGCGAACAGCCTGAGAAAACTAACTTAACTTAGACTGTAGCAGGTGATCCCATATTAAAATTATTTTATCAATCATTGATCACAGATTCAAACCAAGGCCTCCCACAATTGTTTCGTTAATTCTAGGTTACAAAATCATTCTAAAAGGAGTTTCCCCTCTATTTCTCCCACTGATACTTCTGTTCCACACAGAACATGTAAATATTCATAGGCACAGCCACCAGCTGATTCACTCATTTCCTGAAAAAACCTAACTGCATTCCAGGCCTCAACTCAGTGAAAAATTAATAAAATTAATAGAATTTATTTGTATATTATTAAATTAAGTACACCGCCTCAAAATAGTTCAATGACTAAGTCACTGTGTTAGAAAACAGGAAATCAACCTCCCCTTCAGATGAAGGTAGTGAATCCAGATTTTCTGCGTCTTCTGGCAAGTGCTTTAACCACTGAGATACTACTAATATAGCGTCTTTCAAACACATCAGAATCAGAAAACTTCCCAAAGATTCTGTACACCCAGCAGACCACCAGTGCCTCCAGAAAACAAAGAAGCCACATGTAAGAAGGAAGGTCCTTACACCAAGAGATAATTTGTATAAAGGTAGTAAATGGTGGGTAGAACTAGCTGATCAGCTCAAACAGTGGAAGACAGACACCACTGGAAGTTCACAAGATCTGTCCTGGCACCTGTGCTGTTCGTCCTATTCAGGAAAACCCAGAAAGAGAGATGACAAAGTCTGCTAACAACATTCATGTTATTTAGTATGCCAAAGTACTTAGTATAGAAGCATGCAGCTAGTCAAGTCTACGCTCTCTTTTTTTTTTCTTGCCAAATCTATTCAGTCAGTTCATCTACCTACAGTCTGAAAAATGATATATCATCACCTTTCAGATGTACGTGCAGTGGTTCTGCAGCTCATCAGGATACAGCTGAACCACTGTTTCTGCCTACCCAGGAGTTCAGTTAAGGCCTTGGAAATATGAGAAAGAGAAAAGTTGTTCTTCCATAATAGCCAAAATAATCACACTGCGACCAAGCATGAT